TATATATATATATATATATATATATATATATATATATATAAGATTACATCTCATCGCGACTCAACTGAAGAACTCTCATCTAACTTCGAACTCAAATCTGAGTATCTCACTTGAGAGATGTTCCAAGTGACTATTAATATGGGCTTGAATGTTGCAACCGAGAGTAACGAATAGGCGCGTTACTCGAATTCGCGATTTGCGAGAACGCCGAGTCGGACGTCGCCAGCCGATCGATTTGCAGCTTGCTAGCAACGTTTTTTTCCTTTTTTCGTTCGTTCTTTTTCTCGCGGCGCGCAATACACGGTCAAAGTGTGTCAGATGAAAGTCCGGGATGAAAGTGGAGTCGGTCGTACGACGTCACATTAGCTCGAGCGTCTAGGCTCAAATTATCTCGCGAACGGCGCATTGTGGAATCGCGACACCGGGAACAACGCGCGGCATCGCGCGCGCGACCGAGTATCAAGTGACTCCGCTCTTTCGCTTTAACGGTAGAGCCGCGCGAATACACTTAGGAATTCGTGCGAGCGCGCGCCGCAAGTGTGGAGGGAGGACCCGAAAGGTTAACCGAGACGTCCACGAACTTAACGTCCACATAGTCTCTGCCCTGCGGCTTTTCAGCGCGATTTCTACCAGTAGAAATTCATTCTTCGCGCGCGAGTACTCGAGCCCTCTCGTGTGTTTTCCTCTGCGTCTCTAATCGGCAGAACGAAAAATCGAGAGAGGATAGACGCACATCTTCGGTCGTTCAAGCAGGGAAAATCGCGTAGACCATCATGCATTTGAGAAGGATGAGTGCGGAAAATTTCCACATTACCGTTCCGACTGGATCCCGATTAAAAATTTATCCCATAATCCTGATTACGTTAATTTCAATCAATTTATCTAGTTTGTACAAAATAATGTTACCTTAATTATTAATAAGATTCCCCAATTACTAATAATCCTTATTATCAACAAGATTCTGAACGCTACGCTGCACGTTGCATGACTTATTAGGACTTGAGAACATCATCTTATGCAAAGCAGATAACTGATTGGAATTAATCGGAACTGATCAAGATCACGAGGTTAATTTCTAATCGGGATCTTCACTAACAAATAAACCTACTCAAGTAAACCTATCCAAAAGGTACACTCCGATTTCTTTCTAATTTGGCACAAATGTAGAAGTACAAAAAATATAGATCATGTTTTCTGATTTTGGTCCACTTTGAGTTTCACGGGCAGTTTAGAGCTTTTTAATGTTCTCCTATCATCAAGTACAACAAAAATGCATAAGAAATAAAATTGAATACAAAATATAGTTAAATAATTTTAACAAAATCGATATAGCTGAGACATGAACCATTCTAAATTTCTTTAGCCGAGATTCCAACCGAAATATTTCAAATTTGTGCTAAATTAGTAAAAAATGATTCGAAACCGAGAGAGTTTTTCGGTTCAGCCAAACCGAGAGAGAGAGAGAGAGAGAGAGAGAGAGAGAGAGAGAGAGAGAGAAATCCGGCAATTTTAATTAAAGTTTTTACAAAATCGGCATAGCTAAGACACGAATCATTCTAAATTTCTTTAGCCGAGATTCCAAACGAAATATTTCAAATCTGTACTACATTAATAAAAAATGATTCGAATCGGCCAAACCGAGAAATTATTTGTATAAATAATTTTTTTCAACTTTTTACACGTTTTATTTAAACATTTTATTATTTATACAAATAATTTTACACATTTGACTTTATATTCATAATCAGCAAACCAAAAACGCCTATATCTTGTATTTAATTTTATTTCTTATGTATTTTGTTGCATTTGTTGGTGATAGGAGTGAGAGCAAAAAAAGCTATAAATAAACCGTGAAACTCAAAGTGGGCCAAAATGAAAAATGACCTAAATATTTTTTATACTTCTACATTTGTGCCAAATTAGAAAGGAATCGGAATGTAACTTTTAGGTAAGTTTACTTGTAAGAGAAAAAGCTTTGCTAATTTAACAAAATACTAGCAGCTACAAATAGTAGCAACAAATGGTTAGGTATGGCAAATAACTCCGTAGTGGCAACAAATGATTTGTTACTTTCAATATGCTACTTCAAGAAATACTTCAACTTCACAATTTACTTTCACTTTGATTGTGATAAAATTTTCTTTTATGATAAAATTATCTTTAGTGTCAAAATAGGTTGTATCATAAGCTTCAGAATATCAAGATAAGTGTTGAATAGAATAGTGAAGCTGAAAGTAGGATCAATATTTCGACTCGGGATTGTTAAAATGACAAACGATGAGAAATGATTTGCAACCGTTCGATCTGTTTCCCTAACGATCATCAAACGGCTTCCTGATAACCGAGGTATTTTCCTCAGTGCAATCGTCGGGATCATCGGACACGAGAACTGAAATAAGGAGGGATGAAATAAGGTGTGCTCACCGTCGTGGCTTCGGACGTAGTATCTCGTGACCCGAATCGGATATGCAGATACTCAGGCTCAGTGGTCTACCGTAGTGCTCAGACGGTGCACCAGCCTGCACGGCTGCCTGTTGAGGGCTGGAGATACCACTCCAGCCGGAAGTGCTACCTAAGAAGAGCGGCTGTTGCCCGCAGCCGTCCATCGTCGGCCGCTCCAGGTTCATGGTGTCTCCGGAGAGCCGCTAGTACCGCTGGGAAACCTGCAAATCATTGGACGTTTATTACACTCGATATGCTAACTTTATGCATGTTTATTGCGCGCGCCTCCCCGCCTATGGGTTATAAAATCCGGTGGCGCGTAACAACGTTGTTTACGCAGCCACGCGGAGCGACATGCCGCACAGTGGAGTCAAATGAAATTCCAGGTTTCAAAAAAGGCTGCAGTCTTGAACCTTGAACCGACTTCGATAATTTTTCTTCTTTTCTTTTATTGGAAGCTGATAGAAACTACTTTGTCAAACCAGATTTCTGCTTTTTGCTTCTGTTCTTCTAGACTGTTAGACGTAAAGAAGTTAGATTTAGATAGTTTTTTTTAATCAAACAATCCCAATAGATGCTGAGACTCAAAACTTATTACTTCAAGAACAATAATTAATAAAAACACTGATTACATGATAGTAATAGTTTTGTCTTACTTAATTCAATAGTTTTTATTGATTAAAATTACTATTTTAATTAATCTCGTTTAGTGAGTTAAGATATGATTTAGTGTCAGACTGTGTCAATTTACGACTTTTTTTCAAAACTTATAATCAAGGTTTGAATATCGAATTTTAATATCAACAGCCTAATATTAAATCAGATGAGATACAAAGTAAATAGCGAATAACTATTTGATTGAAAAATATTTCTAAATCTAACTTTTATTTATGTTTGATTTATAAGAAGGGCATCAAAAGACAAAAATTTGACTCGACAAAGTTGTTTCAAATTTCACTAGTTTTCACAAAAGAAGCGTCGAAATCGGCTCAGATTTCGAAGTTACAACCTTTCTTGAAACATGAAACTTCATTTGATCCTACTGCGCGCCGCGGACATTATTTCGAGCAACAAACGAGATTCATTCATCGCCACGAGCAAGAGGGAAAGAAAGGAAAAGACGAAGGCGCATCGTAAGATACGCGTTTCGAATCCGGCGAATGAAAGGAAATGTTGCACAAACACGCCGTGCGCTCGAGGATAATGCCGAGATTCTACCTGTACTTCACACGATACTCCCAACTAGCTAACCAGGAATAATCTATGAAAGAAAGTAATTATGCGAAACTTTCTCGAGCACGAAGGTCATTAACGAGCCGGTCGGATAATTGTGAGGAGGTAATTAACGGTCGAGATGTTATCGCGCCGAGGAAAACAATTATTTAGGCTTGATTCATGCGCGAGAGAAATGGCAAGTTAAAATTGACGATAAAGACGAGGTGCATTTTTATTGATAAGATGTAAGCTTTGCACGTTCGTCGGGAAAACCGCGAAATAATCATGAATTTGAGGGCACAAGGGAGAAGAAAGTGGAAAGGCGGAAAACTTGTTTCGTAACTTGTAAATCAGAAATATACAGAGAAATCTTATAAAAAATGTATAAAATGTATAAAATGAATAATCGTGACGCGATGTATGAGCGTGACTTAACGCGCGCGCACGCACGAGAGAGAGAAAGAGAAAGAGAGAGAGAGAGAGAGAGAGAGAGAGAGCGAGAGAGAGAGAGAGAGAGAGAGAGAGAGCGAGAGAGAGAGAGAGAGAGAGAGAGAGAGCGAGAGAGAGAGAGAGAGAGAGAGAGAGAGCGAGAGAGAGAGAGAGAGAGAGAGAGAGAGCGAGAGAGAGAGAGAGAGAGAGAGAGAGAGCGAGAGAGAGAGAGAGAGAGAGAGAGAGAGCGAGAGAGAGAGAGAGAGAGAGAGAGAGAGCGAGAGAGAGAGAGAGAGAGAGAGAGAGAGCGAGAGAGAGAGAGAGAGAGAGAGAGAGAGCGAGAGAGAGAGAGAGAGAGAGAGAGAGAGCGAGAGAGAGAGAGAGAGAGAGAGAGAGAGCGAGAGAGAGAGAGAGAGAGAGAGAGAGAGCGAGAGAGAGAGAGAGAGAGAGAGAGAGAGCGAGAGAGAGAGAGAGAGAGAGAGAGAGAGCGAGAGAGAGAGAGAGAGAGAGAGAGAGAGCGAGAGAGAGAGAGAGAGAGAGAGAGAGAGCGAGAGAGAGAGAGAGAGAGAGAGAGAGAGCGAGAGAGAGAGAGAGAGAGAGAGAGAGAGCGAGAGAGAGAGAGAGAGAGAGAGAGAGAGCGAGAGAGAGAGAGAGAGAGAGAGAGAGAGCGAGAGAGAGAGAGAGAGAGAGAGAGAGAGCGAGAGAGAGAGAGAGAGAGAGAGAGAGAGCGAGAGAGAGAGAGAGAGAGAGAGAGAGAGCGAGAGAGAGAGAGAGAGAGAGAGAGAGAGCGAGAGAGAGAGAGAGAGAGAGAGAGAGAGCGAGAGAGAGAGAGAGAGAGAGAGAGAGAGCGAGAGAGAGAGAGAGAGAGAGAGAGAGAGCGAGAGAGAGAGAGAGAGAGAGAGAGAGAGCGAGAGAGAGAGAGAGAGAGAGAGAGAGAGCGAGAGAGAGAGAGAGAGAGAGAGAGAGAGCGAGAGAGAGAGAGAGAGAGAGAGAGAGAGCGAGAGAGAGAGAGAGAGAGAGAGAGAGAGCGAGAGAGAGAGAGAGAGAGAGAGAGAGAGCGAGAGAGAGAGAGAGAGAGAGAGAGAGAGCGAGAGAGAGAGAGAGAGAGAGAGAGAGAGCGAGAGAGAGAGAGAGAGAGAGAGAGAGAGCGAGAGAGAGAGAGAGAGAGAGAGAGAGAGCGAGAGAGAGAGAGAGAGAGAGAGAGAGAGCGAGAGAGAGAGAGAGAGAGAGAGAGAGAGCGAGAGAGAGAGAGAGAGAGAGAGAGAGAGCGAGAGAGAGAGAGAGAGAGAGAGAGAGAGCGAGAGAGAGAGAGAGAGAGAGAGAGAGAGCGAGAGAGAGAGAGAGAGAGAGAGAGAGAGCGAGAGAGAGAGAGAGAGAGAGAGAGAGAGCGAGAGAGAGAGAGAGAGAGAGAGAGAGAGCGAGAGAGAGAGAGAGAGAGAGAGAGAGAGCGAGAGAGAGAGAGAGAGAGAGAGAGAGAGCGAGAGAGAGAGAGAGAGAGAGAGAGAGAGCGAGAGAGAGAGAGAGAGAGAGAGAGAGAGCGAGAGAGAGAGAGAGAGAGAGAGAGAGAGCGAGAGAGAGAGAGAGAGAGAGAGAGAGAGCGAGAGAGAGAGAGAGAGAGAGAGAGAGAGCGAGAGAGAGAGAGAGAGAGAGAGAGAGAGCGAGAGAGAGAGAGAGAGAGAGAGAGAGAGCGAGAGAGAGAGAGAGAGAGAGAGAGAGAGCGAGAGAGAGAGAGAGAGAGAGAGAGAGAGCGAGAGAGAGAGAGAGAGAGAGAGAGAGAGCGAGAGAGAGAGAGAGAGAGAGAGAGAGAGCGAGAGAGAGAGAGAGAGAGAGAGAGAGAGCGAGAGAGAGAGAGAGAGAGAGAGAGAGAGCGAGAGAGAGAGAGAGAGAGAGAGAGAGAGCGAGAGAGAGAGAGAGAGAGAGAGAGAGAGCGAGAGAGAGAGAGAGAGAGAGAGAGAGAGCGAGAGAGAGAGAGAGAGAGAGAGAGAGAGCGAGAGAGAGAGAGAGAGAGAGAGAGAGAGCGAGAGAGAGAGAGAGAGAGAGAGAGAGAGCGAGAGAGAGAGAGAGAGAGAGAGAGAGAGCGAGAGAGAGAGAGAGAGAGAGAGAGAGAGCGAGAGAGAGAGAGAGAGAGAGAGAGAGAGCGAGAGAGAGAGAGAGAGAGAGAGAGAGAGCGAGAGAGAGAGAGAGAGAGAGAGAGAGAGCGAGAGAGAGAGAGAGAGAGAGAGAGAGAGCGAGAGAGAGAGAGAGAGAGAGAGAGAGAGCGAGAGAGAGAGAGAGAGAGAGAGAGAGAGCGAGAGAGAGAGAGAGAGAGAGAGAGAGAGCGAGAGAGAGAGAGAGAGAGAGAGAGAGAGCGAGAGAGAGAGAGAGAGAGAGAGAGAGAGCGAGAGAGAGAGAGAGAGAGAGAGAGAGAGCGAGAGAGAGAGAGAGAGAGAGAGAGAGAGCGAGAGAGAGAGAGAGAGAGAGAGAGAGAGCGAGAGAGAGAGAGAGAGAGAGAGAGAGAGCGAGAGAGAGAGAGAGAGAGAGAGAGAGAGCGAGAGAGAGAGAGAGAGAGAGAGAGAGAGCGAGAGAGAGAGAGAGAGAGAGAGAGAGAGCGAGAGAGAGAGAGAGAGAGAGAGAGAGAGCGAGAGAGAGAGAGAGAGAGAGAGAGAGAGCGAGAGAGAGAGAGAGAGAGAGAGAGAGAGCGAGAGAGAGAGAGAGAGAGAGAGAGAGAGCGAGAGAGAGAGAGAGAGAGAGAGAGAGAGCGAGAGAGAGAGAGAGAGAGAGAGAGAGAGCGAGAGAGAGAGAGAGAGAGAGAGAGAGAGCGAGAGAGAGAGAGAGAGAGAGAGAGAGAGCGAGAGAGAGAGAGAGAGAGAGAGAGAGAGCGAGAGAGAGAGAGAGAGAGAGAGAGAGAGCGAGAGAGAGAGAGAGAGAGAGAGAGAGAGCGAGAGAGAGAGAGAGAGAGAGAGAGAGAGCGAGAGAGAGAGAGAGAGAGAGAGAGAGAGCGAGAGAGAGAGAGAGAGAGAGAGAGAGAGCGAGAGAGAGAGAGAGAGAGAGAGAGAGAGCGAGAGAGAGAGAGAGAGAGAGAGAGAGAGCGAGAGAGAGAGAGAGAGAGAGAGAGAGAGCGAGAGAGAGAGAGAGAGAGAGAGAGAGAGCGAGAGAGAGAGAGAGAGAGAGAGAGAGAGCGAGAGAGAGAGAGAGAGAGAGAGAGAGAGCGAGAGAGAGAGAGAGAGAGAGAGAGAGAGCGAGAGAGAGAGAGAGAGAGAGAGAGAGAGCGAGAGAGAGAGAGAGAGAGAGAGAGAGAGCGAGAGAGAGAGAGAGAGAGAGAGAGAGAGCGAGAGAGAGAGAGAGAGAGAGAGAGAGAGCGAGAGAGAGAGAGAGAGAGAGAGAGAGAGCGAGAGAGAGAGAGAGAGAGAGAGAGAGAGCGAGAGAGAGAGAGAGAGAGAGAGAGAGAGCGAGAGAGAGAGAGAGAGAGAGAGAGAGAGCGAGAGAGAGAGAGAGAGAGAGAGAGAGAGCGAGAGAGAGAGAGAGAGAGAGAGAGAGAGCGAGAGAGAGAGAGAGAGAGAGAGAGAGAGCGAGAGAGAGAGAGAGAGAGAGAGAGAGA